GTATTGGTTAAAAAACATAAATAACTTTTTTAAAATACAGTTTTAAATGTTACATATTTTGATATACATTTAATCATTTCTTTATTATGGGGCATGGAATTATTTCTAATATTTAGACATTTGAAATAAAATTTTGATAAAATTTCTGGATATGAGTATATATCAGCATATCTAATTGATCATTTCTTCAGAAAAATTAATGGAAGGCAAAGAGCTTCGTCAAAGAATATAAATATTTTTAAAATGAAACAAAAACAACAAATTTCTCTCCAGAAACTTAAACCAATTAAAAAGTCCACATGTAATAGATAACATTATGCATTTTACCATATTCTCAACAACACCAGGCTTATATTTATTAATTTGGTACAAAAGAGGGTTTATATTATTGGAATTTTAATTTTTGATAACTAATTATTTGAACATAGTATATGTTTACTTTTCCCACATGAATTGTCTATTTGTATCCTTCACCAACTTTTATACAAGATTTTGGTGCTTTTCATCTCCATTTTTTGGAATTTTTTTCAAAGGTGTTGAATCTATGTCAAAAGTGCTACACACAGTCACTTTGTTTTCTTTTAGGTTTACATGTTTTATGGGTATTATAGATTGTATTTTTGCTTACATTCATTGCTGTGTTCTTTATTTTAAATATTTTCTTTATTATTTTATTAATATTTTAGTTTAAAGTTCATGCATATATTCATTTTAAACATGTTTATGATATTTTTATGTATAACATTTATTTATATATTTTATGCAGATTATATTTACATATATTTTATGGGTTATAATTTTATATGATGCAATATGTGCATTTTCCCTTGATTATTCATTCTGTGGGTTTTCTAATTTTCCTGTACCTAAAGTAGTTTATTTGATATTTTAAATTGTTATGTTTCCTTAAAAGTAAATACACTGATAAATCTGAAATTTATTTTGCCACTTAGAGTAAATAACAGTCATTATCTAGTTTTTCCTCTAAAGTAGTTGATAAATTATTCCAAACTCATTCTCTAAATAATCATGCTTATATTTTTAAAACACATTTCAATTAAAACATATTTTTAATTGAGGCATAGTAATTCTACCTATTCATCGTGTATAGTGTGATATTTCAATGCACGTATACAGTGTGTGACAATCAGATCAGGTTGATTGGCATATCTATCATGTGAGAGAATGTAATTTTTTTTTGTTAAATTCTTTTATTGGTACATTTTAGGTATACAACACAATTACATTTCTCATTGGGAATTGTACCTTTACATAACGCATCTTGGTTCTTCTTTTTTTTCCCCATTCCTAGCCCTCCCTTCACCCCCTCCACCCTTCCCTATTTACAAAGACTTTATTTCCATTTTTTCCATCTCATCATTTTTCCTTTCCCTTCTTTCCTTTCTCCTGCCCCTCCCACTACCCCTACCCCTTTGGACCTTTTCTTCCTATTTTGCATTATCGATTATTCATTCTAATCATTGGTACATTTTAGGTATACAATATAATGACATTCATCATTGGAAATTTGCACCTTTAAATAATCTCTCTTGGTTCTTCTTTTTCACCCTTGCCCAGCCCTCCCTTCAACCCCTCCATTCCTCCCTATTTACAAAGTGGGAGGGATAGGAGAAAGGACTGAAGGGAATGGGATTAATATGAGAAAATGGAAAAGTAGGAATAGAATGTAGTATTTTTTAGGGTGACAATGTTAGCAGTTGGTTCTTTTTTTTAAGTTACTAGAATTTCTCCACCATTGTCAATTACATAAAACATTACCTGAACATTCATTGTATTTCATTGTAAAATGGGGTCAATTTTAACTCAAAAATCTATTTTTTTTTCTAAAATATATTTAGTTACTCTCTAACCTTTAGGTGAATTATGGAATAGTCTGTGAAGTCTCACCAAACAAAATAAAACAGCCATCCAGATATCTGTCAAATTTCTTAGACTATAACAACTTATAATTTATTGTAATCACTTATAAAACTTTACTCATGTCTCAAGTATTCACTTTTTTTAACAATAAGGTGTATTTCTTTTTGGTGTATTCTTTTGTAATTCTGAAAATGTTTAAAAAATTGTATTGTGTATGTCAAGCACATTTTTTGAAGCTCTTCTAATGCTAGTTATAATTATTTTCATTCTTTCTAGAAAGGTAACATATTTTTAAATACATTTCTACAATTATATCACTGATGAAAAGTTATGATACATAAAAAATAAAGTGACATTTAAATCTTTTTAAAACTTTGTTTAAAACCGATTCTTTTCCTTAGGTAGATAATCATACCAACTGCAAAGAATTGAAAACATTTATCTCTTTGAAAATAAATTTATATTCTATATTTAGGGGCTATATTTTTGTGCTTACAAATATCATATTGATGAAATGTGTGAATCTTGAATTAACTTTGAGATGAACACTCTACCAGATGTTCAAGTGAGAAGTGTTTCAATTTGTATTGTGGAAGATATCATAAATTTCAGTTAAAAATTAGATTTATTATAAACAGATACAGGTGATCTGGAAATCCTAGGATTAAAAATACTATATTTTACTATAGATTTATAGATAATTTCTATTATATTCCCCTACTATCTGTATCTCCTCTATAAAGTTTTTATCTAAGGAATGTAATCTAAGTCACAAATGTCATCTCTGTTTACAAAGGAATAGAAAATAAAACAATATAACAATAATTCTGTTCATACTTTGAACATTAATTAAAGACAAGAGTCCTCAATTTTAAAATATTAGCCATTTAGGTGTTGAAAACCTTAGATTTGTGAACTAAAATATAAAGCCAGCAAATTTCAATTGCAGTTATAAAAGGCAACTGCCATTTCATTTAGTAATAAAGAGAAAAAAATTGTAAACAAAAAGAAGCTTTTTTTTCTGTTTTTTAGTACACATTGGCTTCATCAAGAATTTTCAGTGATTTTAGGTTAGTTACATTATTGTGTCACCTAAATGAAAAAATTTTTAAAAGTAATAATGAGGGCTGGGGATTTAGCTCAGTGGCAGTGTGCCTTGCAAGTGCAAGGTCCTGAGTTAAATCCCCATACCAAAACAAACAAACAAATAAAAGTAATAATGATAAAGATAACAACCAGCACTGACTTAGTTGCTTAATTTGTAACCCTGAGAGACACATGTTGTTACTAACTTCATTTTACAGAGGGGGAAACTGAGGCACGGGCAATTTTAAAAACTATTTAAGTCCTAAGATTTGGTCAGAGGAGGAAGCAGGATGTTAGGCCCAGGAAACCATATTTCAGAGGCTGGTTTGTTTTTTGCTTTTTCAGTACTGAGAATGGGTCCCAAGGCCTTCACCCTGAGCTACATCCCCAACCATATTTTTTAATGTTTGCATTTTGAGATAAGTCCCTAAGTCCCTGAATTGTTCAGACTGCTCTCAAACTTGTGATTCTCCTTACTTAGCTTCCCAGAGTCCTGGGATTACAGGTATACACCACTTTTGATTTTATATTTTGTACCATTTTTATACAAATCTGAAAGTGAAAATGTGTTAAAAATGAAAAGTGTCCAATTACTGATACATTATTGACAGAAAGCTAGTTACATTATGTTGATAAACATAAAATGATACATTCATCAATCATTTTATAGATAAAATTCTTTCAATAATTCTTTTTATTTCTAGTGTATAAAATGAGTACAACCTTCCCCCCTATTTCATTTTATAGTTAAAGAATGTAAAACTGTTGGCAGCTTCAGCTGACTCTTTTATTGGGCATCATAATTTTTACTGTAAATCCTCCCACTGCAGGTGCTGATATAACCGTAAGTTCAAAGCAAGTTGTACTTTAAAAATTTCTAAATTACATTTTTAATTAAAAAGTGTAAATATTTTAGCCTAAACATTTTCACAAGTGCTATTTTTTTTACCTCCACTCTGGGTAGCTTTTCACAAACATATTTATAAGTGAAAACTCATTAAATTATTTTTATTTATCTCCAGTTGGTTTGGGTACTTTTTCAAATGAAAGTCCCAGAGAACAAGACCTATGCTAATCAAAAGAAGGCCGGGGATGCACTCCACGCCAACCCCAGCCTGGACACCAGAGAGCATTCCCTCCACCAGAGCTCAGAGCCCATTGGTGGGCCTCTTCTGTGAGGGGGAGGCGCACCTCCTCGTGCTGGTGTGATCCAAAAGAAACAAAGTGGAGTCAGGGGTCCAGAGCCTAGGAATGAAAGATGAGAAGAGGATGTGATACTTGAGCCCAGATTTAAAGAATGCTCTCAGGGCAGAGGTCAGGTGTCCTGGAGTAGAGGAAGATTGCAGAGAAGGCACCAAGGTGAGTCAGGGTGTGGCGACTTGCAGAAGGGTGGGGACACCAGCCACTGGGATCCAACCTAAATGGAAGAGTAAACAGGTGTAATACAGAAAAGAAGGAAGCTAGTGGAAGTAGTAGCTAAGCTGCCGCCCCAGTCCTGGGGCTGCTCCCAACACAGGTCTGGAGACACTGTCATTCTGTGACACACACAAACTTTCAAGGGAAGAAGGCAGGAGAGTGGCCACCACTGGCACTCACTCCCGCCGCCACCACCCTCAGGATCAGCAGGGCCCAGTGGTTCTCCATGCAGAAGTTGGAGATAATAATAGGGGAGAGCCTTCCTGTTCATGGATCTGCAGGAGTGGCAAAATAGACTGAAAATTGGAAGGCTGGGGCTGGGGCAGAAGTGAAGACTGCTCTGAGGGAACTACAAGCCAGAGGGAGATAGAGTGACTGGTTTGGGGCTAGAGAAGGTGAGTGATGGGAGCAGGGAGAGATGGATAGAAAATTCTTGGCTCCTCCTTCGGAATCCCTGGTACTGGGCACAGTGGGGCCAGAAACTGAGGTCTGTGGCAGCTGGGAACCGCCGCAGGCACTAGCAGTGTGGAGAAGCACCTCCTCTCCCTCCTTGGGTGGCGCTGAAATGGAAAGAGGAGGATGGCATGGAGCTTCCTGCAAAGCCCTGGCTGGGAAGCCAGGTTGAGACCCCTCCTGGGACCAGCATAGACACCTTGCCATCAACCCTGAGAACTCTAGAGGCTCCCACACAGTCCTCCAAAGACAGAGGCAGCAAAAACTGTGCTGGGATATTTATTCCAATCAATGAAACAGGACAGTTGCCCTTTTTTTCTCTTTATCTTTCCATGTCTTCCTCCTTTTTCTTATGTTTTGCCTTTTTGCACTTTTATCAGTTTCGTATGACAGGAGTCGGACTTTTGATACATATATATTGGGTATAGCTGTGTTAGATTTATGCTTTCACTCCATAATATCCTTGGATTGTCATGTTGTGCCACAAAAATTGTTGCTCCTTAGGAATGTCTGAATTTGTTTGACTGATCAACAACTGGACACAATCTTCTTTTCTCCTTTCTTAATTCTTATTTATAATCCTTTCTCCTTTACCTCCCTTCACATTTCTGCTTCTGTCTCTCCTTTCTCCCCCTTCTTTTCTTCTTTTTATTATAGTATTGTTATTTGATTTATTCTATTTTTATTTTTTTCTTTCTATCTCTTCTTCTTTTTCTATATACTATTTGAAACCCTTATTATCATAAAGGATAAGTTTTTTTCTAGCCCACTATATCATTCTGTCTTTTTCTAATTTAGTGAAATAGTAGAGAACTATTTTAATCAATTTTTTAAGTATCAGACAATCTATGGTTAACTCCATAAGTATCAGGGGTAGTGGTAGTAACTTACCTTTCTCAAAGAAGTTCTAGGGGCTGAACCTGAAGACTGAATAGAAACTCTTACATGGAGACAAACCCACAACCCAGGGCACAGAACAAAAGAAAGCCACTACAAAAAAATAGACAAGGACTTTAAAATTTGATAGTTAAAATGATTAATGAGAAAAAAGAGACAATTAGGCAGCTGAATAAATTAATTAGCAGAATGATCAGTGAGCTGAAAGAAAATACAAATAAGCAGCTTCCTTGAATTAAGGAAGACAATGCAGGATATGAAAGACCACTTCAATAAACAGAAGTTCTGAAAAAGAACCAAACAGAAATCCTTGAAATGAAAATCTCAATGTCAAATAAAAAACTTAAAGTCTAGGCAATAGAAAAGATGACTAAGAAGAAAAAAGTGTAAGGAGTTGAAGACGTGGTGGAAATGCTAGAACAATCAAACAAGACAAAAGAAAAAAGAATAAGAACCCTTGAAAAGACTTTCTGGGTAAATCTAATAGAAATAACTTAAGACTTGTTGACCAAGAAGAAGACACTGAAATACAGGCTAATGGTTTAAAATTCTATTCACTGAAATTACTGCAGAAAGTTTCCAAGCACTGGGAAATAAAATGGATATCTACATAAAAGAGGTATTTAGAATCCCAAATAGACAAGACCAGGAAAGTACCTCTCCACATAGTCAAATGCCAGAAATTCTGGGCAAAAAAAAAAAAAAAAAAACTATTAAAAGATATTGGAAGTACTACATCATACTTATGGAACCAATCCTATTAGAATAATAGCAAATGTCTTAATAGAAATTTTAAAAGCCAGGAAGGCTTAGAATGAAGTTTTGTAAGTATTGAAAGAAAATAATCACCACTCTTTATTACTATATCCTATAAAGCTATTCTTCAAAAGTGAAGGAAAAATAATGATTTTCCATGAGAAGTATAAACTAGAGAAATTCATAACCATCAAGCACCATTGTAGAAAATCCTTAAGGGACTTATAAACATAGAACAAGAAGACAAGTGCAATACAAAGGGAAAAAGTGAATTTCACTGGTAGAGAAAATCAACGCACAACAGAAGTGAATCAAACACCCTAAAAATGACAAAATGACAGTAATTAGTACACTCATTTTAATAATAATAGTTCATGTAAACGGTCTTAATTCTCTAATTAAATGACACAGATTGCCAGATTTGGTAGAAAAACAAGACACATCTATATATTGTCTGCAAGAAACACACCCCATCTGCAATGACATACATGGACAAATGTAAAATGAAACTCCAAGCAACTGGAACCTGAAAGGAAGCAGAATCAGCTATACTTTTGTCTAAAAAGACAGACTTCAAACCAAAACTAGTCAGTAGAGTCAAAACAGGTCACTCATAATGTTAAAAGGAAAAATCTACCAGAAAGAGATAACAATAATAAATATATATGACCCAAACATTGGCACATCTAATTTCATGAAACACTATCTGACATAAAAATACAGGTAGACCTCAATTCAGTCATAGTGGGGACTTCAATATCTTCACAATCATAAATATGTTGGTTAGCTAGATAAAATAAACAACAAAGAAACATCATAATTAAACTACCCTATAGATCAAATTGACTTATCTGCTATCTGTAAAGTGTTTCATGCAACATCAGCAGAATATACTTTCTTTTCAGTATTCCATTGGAATTTATCCAAAATGGACCATAGTTTTGGTTATAAAGCAAGTCTTAACATATACAAATACAACTGAAATAATTTTATGCATACTATCAGATCACAATAGAATGAAAATTGATCAATAGCAAAAGAAGCCACAGAAACTAGAAAACATATGGAGACAAATAATGTATTCTTAGTGATCAATGGGTCACTGAAAACATAAGGGGAGAAATTTTTTTAAATTCCTGGAATCAAATAACAATGGAAACAATATATATCGAAATCTCTGAAATACAATGAAAGTGTATCCAAGAGGGAATTTAATAACCATGAGTGCTTATATTAGAAAAACAAAGTAAACCCAAGTAAATAACCAAAGGAAAACTTCAGACCAATATTCTTCATAGACATCAATGGAAAATCTTCAATAAGATCTTCGCTAACAGAATTCAACAATACATTAAGAAAATCATACATTAAAACCAAATTGGTTTCATTTTAAGAGTATAAAAATCAACACACATAAATCAATAAATATAATACACTGCATAAATAGAATCAAGGATAAAAACCACATGATCATCCCAGTAGGTGTTGAAAAAGCCTCTGACAAAATTCAACACCCTTCATGAGAAAAACCTTGATGAAAAATGGACACTGAAGCATCTTATCTCAAAATAATAAAAGCAATATATGACATACTCATAGCTAATATCATAACAAATGGTTAAAAGACCAGAGTAATTCCTTTTAATGTTAGGAACAAGATAAGGGTTTACAGTCTCACCACTACTTTTCAATATAGTACCCAAAACTTTACCCAGAGTAATCAGGCAAATGAAAGAAGTAAAATGAATATGATTAGGGACAGAGGCAAATTATACCTATTTGCAGATGACATAATACTTTGTATAGAAGTAAGAAACTACCAGAAGATTTTAAAACTGATAACTGAATCTAGTAAAGTGCCAGAATACAAAATAAACATACAAAAATGTTGACTGTGTCCTATACACTGTAATGAGCCAACTGAGAAGGAAATCAATTCCATACACAGTAGCTTCTAAAAAACTGAAATGCCTAAAAATAATGTGAGCAGCCCCAAAGTACAAAATGTCAAAGAAAGAAATTGCAGAAGACATTAGAAAATGAGGACATTTCTTGTTCATGATTAGAAGAATTAATGTTGTAAAAATAGCCATTTTGTCAAAAGTGATATACAGATTAAATGCAATCCATATTAAATTTTAAAGTACAAACAACATTATTTCCAGATTAGAACAAATAATCCTAATTTTCAAATGCAATCAGAAAAGACCTATTGCAACCCTGCAACCAAAGAGGCGGAGTGTCACTATACTGGACTTCAAGCTGTACTGTAAAACCAAACTCAAAAACAAAAGCAGAAATGTTTTTTAAAACAGAAGACACAGAAACAAACCCATGAACTAACAGCTATCTGATTTTTTCACCAAGTGGGCAAAAACATACTGCAAAAACTACAGTCTCTTTAACAAAATTTGTTGGAAAAACTGGATATCCACATGCATAAAATTAAAGCTAGATTCCCATCTCTTATCTTGTACTAAAATCAAATAAAAATGGATCAAAGACCTAGATTTAAAACAAGAAACATTAAAACTCCTGGAAGACAACATAATGGAAACTCTTGAAGACATAGGAACAGGCACTGACTTCCTGAACAGAACTCCAGAGGCACAGGAAATCATATCAAGAATCAAAAAAATTAGACTATATCAAATAAAAAGCTTCTGCATATCAAAGGAAACAATTAACAGAGTAAAGAGACAACCTATTAAATGTGAGAAAATCTTTGCTAGCAATTCTTTGGATAGAGGATTGATATCTAGAATATATAAAGAACTAAGAAAATCCCCATATATCAATTAACCCAGTAAAAAGTGGGTAACTGAATTGAATATATGCTTCTCCAAAAAAAGAAGTTTAAATTATCAACAACATATGAAAAAATATTCAACAATT